TAACCGACCATGTGTTTTCTCTTTGGCCGCTGCAGTCTACGCTGTCGCGGCCATTGGCGCGGCAGTATAAGCTGCCGCGGCCAAAGAGACGGTTATGAGCACGTTCCATCGCGCTCAAAACTATTCTCCCACGAACTTTAACCACCTTTTTCGTGGTTTAACCGCTTTTCCACGTCAGCACACGTTCTATCTTTGATATGCTGCCACGTGGACTTCAAAAAATCATCAAATAACTGTCTTATAACTGCCACGTCATCCTCTTATAACCAACGCGACACTATAGGCCGCCGCGTCTAAGCCGCGGCACCTTGGTCTGCCGCGCCATAGCCGCGGCGCCTTGGTCTGCCGCGCTATAGCCGCGGCGCCTTGGTCTGCTGCGCCTTAGCCACGACGCTTTGGATTGCCGCGCCTAAGCCGCGACACCATTGGCTGCAGCGCCACAGTGCTGTCTGATGACGTGTATATCGTTATGAAACTTTGCTTATACATCTTGAGTGGCTGAAGAGACTTGTCTTCATTGCTTAGAAAATCAACCCAGTTTATCCAAAACTCTTCCAGAAAGGATCACTTTTAACACACTGAATAAGGCTCATTTAGGTTGTAGTCTTGCAAGCATTGCAGTTTGCTTGATTGAGATAATACAAGGCAAAACATCTAAAAGGAACCAAATAAGACGCCAATAGTAGGATGTATTAAACTCTGTTTCGAGAGAAATCTGAAGCTTTTAGAAAATTACAAGCATACTCAGAAAATCAATAATACTCGAGGCCCGATGAAGTTAAGAATCTGATATTACAAGACACTTGATTCATCTTAGTACATGACTACACATTCGAGTCCTTTCTAATCAACAATTTATTCACTAGTGTCCACATGTCCAATCAAACGTTACCAATTCTGACAAGTAACCTCACTCATTTCATGTTTTATAATTATATTATACTTGGAAGGTGAGAAGGATACACATTAAACTAACCTGCACAAGCGATGCTAGTTATTAGATAAAAGTGAAGGATACAAATTAAACTAACCTACACAAGCAATGCTAGTCATTAGATAAAAGTAAATGCATTCACCCTCTCCCATTGACATTAATAACATATGGCTATATTTTCATCACAGATGGCTATATTTTCAATTTTCACTAGTAAAATTTAAATTTTAGAATCATAACGTTGCTTATTGTTGATATCTAGTTGACAACTGGATAGACGAGGGAAAAGGTAGAAACAAATTCAATCATATATGAAAAGTTGAGGATGACTATTCAACTGCACTATTGATTGCTATGCATTTCTTTTTCCATAATCCATTTTCATTTTAAAGTTTGTTTTCACTCTTTTTATGGGACTCTACACATTTCCATGGTCAATTTCATTGACATGCTAAAGTTGCCCATAAAAGAGGCTTCTAACCGAAGTCATTTGCATTGTTACCTAGAATTTCCCAAGTAAAAGATATAAGGCATCCATATGGTGTATGGACAGACGATAACTTACCCAAGAGAAGGTGAGGTTGAGAATACAGATGGGTCTAAAATCTTTGGGCATATTCCTGCAGATGAACCAACAGCAACATTGTCAATACATAAAAATTTATCACATACTGTAAGTTAAGATTTGCAACTAAACACACCTTCATAACCGCATTTATTCCACGTGACGATAGAGGTGCCTTTATCCATTCTTCATTTACACATTACTTAGAGTCTCAAGCTCAGATTCCATGTCGAGAACTTGAGATCCAAAATGTTCACCCACCAACTCATCCCACATAAATTCAACTGCTTCCTTCACCTTTCGCCGACCCAAGTATCCACCCAAAACATTACTCCAAGTATCAAAATCTGGAACACAACCCTCAACAAGCATCTCCTCAACAATTTTTGCAGCTTTATGCACATCCTTTTTCATGCAATAACAACCCACAAGCACATCAAAACTCTCCGGTTCAATAGAAATCCCCCGAGTTCTCATGCTCTGATAAACCCTATACCCACGATTCAGCTCACCCTTTTCACACAATCTTCTCACCACCATATTATGAATCCTAACATGAAGACTCCAAGTAACCCGATTCGGTGAAATCCCACTAAGCACCATCTCATCAAGAAAGTTTGCAGCTTCATTAGCCTTACCCAGTTCACACAGCCCGCTAATAATTTTACCATATAACCCAGCATCTGGCTTCTTTCCTTGAAGCCTCATCCTATCCAAAACCTCCGAAGCCTCCAAAACCCTCCCTTCTCTACACAACCCATTAATCAAAGAACTGTAACTAATCATATTCGGCGGACACCGATCCTTAACCATACGATCCAACAAACCCATCGCCTTCATCGACCTCCCTCCTTTACACAAACCATCAAGCAAACAACTGTAAGTAACCACATTCGGCCGAACCCCTCTCTTACCCATTTCATCAAACACCTCCAACGCCTCATCCAAATGCTTAACTTTACACAACCCACTTATAAAACTCGTAAACGTAACCACTGTCGCCTCAATTTTTCTCTCACCCATTTCATCGAACAGCTTACGCGCATCCTCAATCCTCCCATTTTTACACAACCCATCGATCAAAGTCCCATACGTGCACGCATCCGCGCTCTCCATCCTCCGAAAAACCCGAATCGCAGTGTCCAAGTTCTTCTCATTGCTACATAGAGCTTTGATGAGCACGTTGTAGGAAGCTACAGTAGGAGAAACCCCAGCCTCCTTCATCTCATTGTATACCTTTCGAGCTAGCTTCAGCTGGTTCTCGGCGACGAGGACGGCGAGCAGAGCGTTGTAGGACCTGTGAGTGGGCTCCACATTGTAATGGGTCTTCATGAGTTCAAAGAGGCGGAGGGAATCTAGGGGCTTGTGGGCACGGCCGTAGGAGCGGAGGAGGGGGAGGAAGGCGGACTCGGGCACGGGCTGGTGGGTTTCGGGTCGGATCCGGGAGAGGAGGGACTCGGCGGGGTTGAAGAGGTTGGCGGAGGAGAGTTTGTGGGTGTCGGGTTCGGATCGGATTAGGGTCTGGACTTGGGCTGGGGTTATTGGGTGGCTCCATTTTATTTGCTTGGGTCTTTTGACGATGGACATCGGAGGGGAGCGTGGAGGGGGAATGAGAGGGGAGACGTATTTGACTAAATGCTAGATAGCGCCTAATTAGCACTTAAACACCTTATAGTTTCACTCGATTAGCACTTATATACCCTCACTTGTTTTTAACCATATTTATATACTCTAAGTTGTTTAAAATTAGCATTTTGCTATCATCTTTCGTGCAAAATTGTTTAAAGTTTTTACCCAAATATTCTCATATGACACTCGCATGCCAATTAATTAAAAGTGTCAAGTGGGAATATTCGGGCAAAAATTCACGTCCACGTAACAAATTATATCAAACTGTCAATTTTAACAACTTAGAGGATATAAATGGTGTCAAGAATAAGTGAGTCAATATAAGTGCGAAGTGAGAGAAACTTTATGGTATTTAAGTGCTATTTAGCCACAAATTAGTATATGGGAGCTCTTCTCTTACTACTACCCCCATGGCTTTCGTATTTTAGGAATTAGTCGCCTTATCGCATTTGTAATTAGTTCTTCAGATCTTTTAACTTTTTGAAGTTAGTGTTTCTAGTTAGTATCTGGTTGAAATTATAAGAGAATATCTCATTGTCCTTAATGTTTTATGAAGACTAAGGGTTAGTTTGGTATTGTTTTTAAGGGTGCTTCTGGTTATTTTTAAAAAGCAATCAATAATGATGTTTGACAATTTTTTTTAAATACATGCTTATTATGACTGCTTCTGCTTTTAGGGGATTGCTTTTAGAAGCAACTGGGGATGCTTTTGAAAGCAACTTCTGTTTTTTAGTTTATATATTATATATAACCTTTTACCTTTTAACAATGATCATTAAACACAATCCTACTAAACACCTTAACTGTTTTTTAACCACTTTTTATATTTAATTACCAAACAATTATTTTCAACAGCTTATATAAGTTGCTTTTATAAGCAACTTATTGTAACCTCTATCAATACCAGACTGACTCTAAGAAACTTTCGACTGATCAACATGTTTGATCTTTTTTTTGACGAGTTTAAATTCCTAAATAATTTTTGCCATCAAATTATTTTGCTTATTTACATACAAGTATTTTGCTTCTGCTTG